TATATATGTAGGTCAGCAGTGCCGGATTAGAATTTGACCTTCTTCCTGAACATCTTCATTTAATGAAGTAGATTAACTACTGAATAGGTTCGAGTGAGGAGCTGTGTCAGTGGTTTTTGGCTGCAAAAGAACAAGGAAAGGTTAATTCTGTGCTGACAAGTAGAAAGAAGAAAAACTCACCCTACTTCTGGTGTGAAAGAGAGGAAGGTAGCAGGGATCTAAAGCACAGGCGGGCAGAGGACCTTCTGTGAAAAGAGTGTCCAAACAGAGGGAGATCTGGGGGAAAGATGTGGGAATCTAAGATCTGCAAATGTATGGAGAAGCTTTAAAAAGATTTTAGTCTGTCATTGAGAGAAGAGAAAAGTCGAGATCCAAGTTAAAGGATAAACTTGGCTGCTGATTGTATTCTGGAGTAGGAGTCCTACAAACCCTGTAAAAGGATGCAGAAAGACAGGGCTGGAGAGGTGAAATGGTGAACTATCAGTGCCCACTCTCACCTGCTGTGCCCTTTGTCTTCTTGTGTTTTACATGTCCACTACCTTCCTCTTTCTCCCTCACACCTGAAGAAGGCTCCACAGGCGGAACCGTGTTTCTTCTTCGTCCTGTCTGGCGTGGAATTAACCTTTACTTGTGACTTAATAGCGCCACAGATGACTGTGGGAAGGAAGGGAGGTACGAGGAAAGGGCGTCTCACCCTTTTGATTGATTCTTTAAGCAAGATCCTCATGTGGCTAGCTGACGGTCCTCATGTGTCCTCATGTGGCTCGCTGACGCTCTGCGGGCTTGGCCGGGGCTGGAGAGGGGTCTTGGGATTAGTCCCACCGCACAGCAGATCAGGCGGAGAAGTGGAAATTATTTCTAAACCTGAATGGAGGAGGGAATACAGGGAGGATTGGTAGTACAAGCCCAGAGTGGGATTTAGCCAGGACACTGATTATTAGCCCTTGGCCAAGTGGTTATGACTTCACTTTAGTGTCTCTTCTGAAGAATGCCACCTCCTGAAGCACAGTGTCTTTGGTTCAGAAACTGTTTCAGAGGGAAGAGCTCCTTCTACATGTCCACAAATTCCATTTAGAGCAGCAGGCTTGTTTGCCTTAGATACTCCCATCCCAGAGGTGACTAAGAGCAGAGGAATGTTTTAGCCCATCTAGCCCGTTTGGTGGTTATTAGTTTGTTGAACCAAGGATCTCATCCTTCCACTTTATGAAAGAAGCCAGGATACCACCTTCAACAACATGGCTGGGTAGATTGTTCCAAACTCCCACAACTCTTTGTGTATAGAAGTGCCTCATGTTCTCTTTTAAAATTTTCTAAATGTATTTGGTTTAAAAAAACTTGTCTGTATGGTGAGATGTAGTGCAATATTTAATCTCCTTCACTTTTGAGGCTGCCAAAAAAACTTTTTAAAAATGCTTGAAAGATTAGCCTTGCATTTAACGCTATCATTGTTTGTACCATGAAAATATTTTTTAAATGATCTGAGCCATTCAACAAACGAATGCTTTCTTTATCTTTTATCATTTTTATTGTTTCGGACAAATGACTCGTTATACTTTAGAAATAGACTTTTACTTTTATCAGAAAACTGGTTTAGCTGTACGAAATAAATTACTTAATGATCTTGTCTTTCTTTCAGTCTGATTTATTTCATGACTTATTTCCTTGAATTGTGTCTGATTCAGATAATGAACCACAGTTCATTTTCTCAGGAGATTTTTATACTCTTCGCTGCCCGACCACAACATTTCCCCCAGACGTGTTCCAACAGCTTGGAGATTTTAAAGTCTTAAACCCAAAAGCTGCTGGGAGCTGAAGGCATGAAAAATCCACATCAGTTCCAGATCATTCTTTTGTATTGGCAAACATGTGCAAAAACAAAACATTTGTGGTGTGTTTAAATCTACAGTATTTATTAGAATAGCTTATTAAACAATTAATGAAAACTTAAAAACTTAAAAATGACTAACTGTTGTTCACTGTTTGTTACATTCATTACAGATTGTGAAAACACAGTGTAGGATGAGAGATTTTTTAATTTAATCATTTTATTTAATTATTAATAATTTATTTCAGAATGTTGTCCTAAAAATAACAACTCAATCTAAGGGTGTGCACACCTCATATGCATGAAACTTTACAAACGAAAAAATATCAGTGAAATTACATATTCCTTAGTGTTTGTATAAAAATCATATTCTTCCATGATTTGGCTATTCTGGAACTCCAGGCTCCTCTTTGAATGACAGTATATAATGAGTTCAGAAAGATGTGTACTTGCATGTATTTCAGCATTCTTTTATATATACAGTATAGTATACTACAGTATATACTATGGAATTTTTATGCCTTTAATGTTTTAGAATAGCTAGGCTCTATACATTTGCACATACTATATGTCTTATCATTCCTGCTAAAAATGACTAGAATTTGAATTAAATTCAGGGATGCTTCATCCATCATGTTTATGCTTATCCGTAAAATAAGCCTATCCATAATTATAATTATAATTATAATTATAATTATAATTATAATTATAATTATAATTATGAAGAAATTATGTAACATTTAATGAGCATTGGGTATATAGTGATTTAAATATCTTTGGATTTCAGAAAGATCTTTCCGGAGTGCCATTTCCGTAGTCCACACTACAGTAAACACACCTGTGGTTTTATACCCCATTAAGTGTTTATTCTGAGAATCCCTTATAGCAAAAATACTGTAATGGAACCTGTTTCAATAAGGCATTATACAGTACATGTAATCTTTTCATCTGAATGGCTTAGGTCAAACCATCATTGAATTCAGAGTTATTGAACATGAAAAGGGAACTTGTGGCTCCTTTCAGTTGATATTTAAAACTTCTCTCACCTCTGTGACTAAATGTACTTCTCAAAACAAACGTGCAGTTTCTATAGGACATTGTGATGGAAAAAAAAACATTTAAATAAACTCAATTGCTCAAGATGTAATTTAAAATTTGCGTGCTGCATACCCATTTCTATCATAAAATGAGAAATTGCCTGATCTTCATTCTAATATGTTTCCAGGTCTTTGTAAACATAAAAAATGTTGGAGGAACTCACATGTGCACATTTTATATTCACTAAAATAAACTCCTGACAAGCATAACATCATATTCGTATCCCACAATTCCCATACAATAAATGAAACCCAGAGTGTAATTCCCATTATTCCAGAACTGAAAGAAGAGAACGCATGGTTGTTAGAGGGTGTGAGTGTGCTGTGGTTTTCATTCTACGAGCAATCGTAATTACTTAACTGACCTAAGTTGGGTAAGCAATCATGTTTTTACCTATTGATCAATTGCTTATTGAAAAGCACTCGTAAGGCTGTAGGGACTGGATCTGTCACCCTCTGTGATAATGCTATTTCCTGACAAAAAGAGTATGATCAGTAGACTCTTTTCTGAGCAGGTTCTCCTCGTCTAGGGAGACCTCGCCATATTAATGACAATCTAAACCCCAAACTGCTCTGTTCCCTTCCCTTCAACATCTATTTTCAGAACTTTTCTGTGAACTTTAGTGATACCAGATTGTTTTCTGAGGCTGCGAATTGATTTGTTGCACAATCACTATTCTGCACAGTTTTTTCAGCACTTCTTTTGAAATCCTTCCAGCATTTTCAGAAATAATGCTTACTATGCAAAATGTACAGTAAGTACTTGAAACGATCTCAAAGAAAAGATAAAACAGGTAATTTATTACATTCAGAAATTAAGACTCGACACCAACAATATCTTGACAAATATAATGAAATGATATGACATGAAAATGAATGTAATAATATATGAAATATCTCATATTTTGTAGTAAACATTAATGGATGACTTGTGGCAAAACCTGTTGTTTAAATATAAATTGTACTGCCTGTTATACACACACATGTATCAGTATCATTACTGCAAATGTGCACACATAGTTGCATATGTTTGTGAAAATTAACGTGTTCCTTATTTCTCGCGTACACAAATCACTTTAACTTTTGTTGTTGCATTTAAAACAAAATGCAGTTGCTGAAGGATATACTGTAAAACTGAATTATATTTAAGAAGCAGAACAATTCGAAAACACAATAAACATTTGATATGATTTTTTCTGCTATAAATTGTTTAGCCAAAAAAGTATTCTTCAATCAAAAATATTAAACCACACAGACGTTTGGTGCAATGTTATAGATATGATATTAGGGCACAAGCAGAAAGAACAGAAACTGAGCTGATTCAATGGTAAGGCTGTGAGAAAGAAGCCGATCAGAACACAGAACACTAACATTGGTGCGATCACTGGTATATAATCTAACCAAATGAGTTTGTTTGGAAGAGCCCAAACACATTTTTATTTTGTTTGTATAAAGAGAATTCCAAGTCAGTTAAGAAATGCAGGAGGGAAAAGGTCAGTGTCTGGGGTGCCTGGGAGAGTTTTATGATGAAGTCCAGAGATGGAGAATGTCTGTAATCATTGTTTCCCACAGATGATTACTTGGAGAGGGTGGAAAGGCAGTGAAACACTGGAACTCCTGTGTACCTGCATATCGAGGAAGACAACAGTTCCCAATCAGAAACACCTGACAAAAAGTAACAGCTCTTTTACATCATTATTACTTTTAAATTGTAAGAAGCTGTCTTTTTTCCAAAGAGCCACTTTTAACTTTATGACAGTGTTTTAAGCCTAACAGTAATGGCTCCTTAGTATATTTCATCATTGCTGGGTTACATCACTCTGGCATAACCTAAAACTGCATATATTCTTCATGGAATGAGTCATTCTTCCAGTATTTCCTAAAACAGCTTCAACCTACTATATTGAGTTGCAAATACTACTTGAAAACAGTATTTTCAAGAAATCCCCATTTCCTGAACTTCCCCAATTTTAGTTATATAATGAGACTCTCTTTCTAAATAATAATCTGTAAAACCCTCCCCAAAATAACAAAAAGAACAACATTCAACAGTAGGCTGCAACACTGTTTTTCTATATAGTTTCTGTTGTTAATGGTCTTGATCTTGAAAAAGCAATGAATGAATGCATTACAAAATCTGGTATGACAGTATTACCTGACACCCGGAATAGGTATTTTAAATCACAAAAAATCTAGATGTCATGAATGTAAGTGTTGGACTGTTTCTGATTGAACAAGTATTCAAAAGCCGTATGGACTTATGCTAAAATGGACACAGTGGGAGGATTATCATTTACAAAAAGAGAAGTTTGCTAATGGTATGCAATTCTGTGTGTTTTGTCGTGGTGACGTTTAGACTTAAGCTTTAAAAACTCCCATCCCTCTATCTCCATGATCACAACTTCTGAGAAGTGAAATCAAGAGCTGTCACTGAACACATTGCTTGTATTTCGCCTGTCATATCCCTGTGCATCTCTTATGGACTCCTTTCCCATGTAGGAAAATGGTAAGTATGTTTGCTAACATTTACGGAACTGTCGAAACTGCAAGAACCATTATATATTATCTTTACTCCTAATCACCTTGATTGCATCTCATGCACTCTCATACTGCATCTTTGCTTTGAACATTAAGGGGTAAAAGTGATCAACTAATACCGAACAGTGGGATTAAATATGGCAGTGTGATGTGCATGAATGTCAGTCTGCATTAGGATGTAGCTTATACATCCGCACTGATACGTTTTAGCAGCTGAAAATAGTCATCGAAAATGTACTGTACCTACAACAAGACCCAGAGTGCTCTGTGAAACATACAAATGCATGTTTCAAGGAACCGGGTACATGAAATACAAGTACTGTACAATTTTATTTGATTCTAATTAATCAATGAATTTAATTATATAGGCAGTGATGGTGCAAAACAAGTTGTCGACTTATGGAAACAGTCTATGCTGACAGGTGAAGTCTCTTGGTAGCACGTACCAGAGGTTTCAAACCTTTTGTATTTAGAACCTTGGTATTTTTTTTTTGCAGAGCTACCTTGACCAAGATATCTTAAGCCAACACTTCCAGGATGCTATTGACGTGCTCCAGCGTCATTCAGATGGCACACAACAATACCAGTCAGGTACAGTTTCTGTTGAACAGCAGTGAATTCAGATCAAGATACCCATATGTATTATATTAACACATTTGGGTCTCAGAAATGAGGTTCTTGAAAACCTTAAGATTCCCTTCTTGGTTTTTATATATGTAATTAAAGTTCACGTAGGCTGCAAAGGAACAGGTAAATGTTTATTCCATGCTGAAAGGAAAAGAAAAGACACATAAGACTGTCACACCTGAAGAAGGCTCCACAGCTGAAACATGGTGTCCCTTTTCTTTTCCTTTATCTGTTGCTAAATATAATTCATTTATTTGTTTGCTTGTTGTTCCTTTTGTGCTGAAAAATAAATTAAAATGGAATAGCCATTGATGCAAAAGCTTTATTTTTAATCTCTGAGGCAAATTTGGTCACAATATTTTGCAAAGTCCCAGCCACCAACACAGGGCTGAATTCCTAAAACCATGAGGGGACTTCCCATTGCCTCTCATTTTATTTACTATTTTAAACTCCGCTCAAATTAATCTCCACACCGTGCAAAAAAACAGCACCCTTTTAGCACTTTTAGAATTCGTTTTTAAAAATCCCTGACATTGAGCCTCCAAATTCTCTGTCAGCAGTACTGTCTTTGTGGGACATTTCCTCCCCCACGACAGTCATACTAGCTCACAGACAACCTTACTCACACCACACAAACTTGCAGAAAAAGACACTCTCATTTCCAAGCAGAATTTCTTCATTTCTTCCTCAGCAACGGTTGCTTTTCCTTCATTTGTATTTGCTGTTTCAACATAAGAACAGGAGAACAGGTACTAACGAGAGGAGGCTGGCCCATACAGCCTGTTGGGTAGCTTGTGTTGGATTGAGCTAAGGATCTCAACTTTCCGTTTCTTGAAAAAAAACAGGGAACGGCCTCGAATAACATGGCTGGGGAGCTTGTTCCACACTGCCATCACCCTTTGTGCAGCCTCCTGTTCTCGGTTGTAAATGCAGTTCCCAGCTGTGCCTCTCATTTGTCATCGCGTGTTCCTCTCTCTGTGAACAGAGTACAAGTTCTATGACGCCCAGGGCAGTCAGCCAGCCCCCGTAAGGACCAGCTTCGGCTGCTACTCCTCTCCTCTCGTTCCCGATGCGCCAGTATACAACTGGAGTGAGCTGCCGGTGAGTGAGAAGCGAGACGCCGAGGGGCTCCAGCTGATGAGCTCAAGGACCGGGGAAGATGCGGTTCCGGCACGTGACTGTGTAAAAATCTATTTGCGTGTCGTACACCTCACTCCTGTCGCCCTTGTCGGATGCATTTTCTTTCTCGTTTTGCTAGCCCTGGGCCCACACTGTCCCCAGCGCAGCTCTGACACACACTCCTCCTCCGGAGAACCAGCTGGCTTACTCTGTGTTTGCCCAGCAAAGAGGTGGAAAAGGTCAGGAATTTCCATTGATCCTGTTTTATATTTTTTGCCATGTAAACCATGCTACCCAGAGTCCTTTGTGCACATTACACTAGATTGCACTGTTACACACTACAAATCCAGATTGTTTTAGGATTTTCATGTATATGAACTCAATATTACCATAAACCTCAATATTCTAAGAATGAAAATGTATGTCCATCACATATATGAATGAAGTTATTAAAATTGTAAATACATTTATTTCCTAATGTTACAAAAATGTCAAAGAGAGTGAGTCATTGTCCTTCCTTTGTATTTTACGTTCCCACAAAATTATGACTAGGGGTGCAGGGTTCAAAGGTTTTGAAAACCGTAGTGCATTTATTGAGTTGAAGTGCAGATGCAGATCAGACGTCACTCGACCATGTAGTGCAGGGTCTGTGCAGTTCCCGGTAAATGGATTTCGACTTGGGCTGGCAGTGGCGGTGCAGTATTAGCGTTGCAGGAAAAAAGAAGAAACCAGGAAAGAAAAGAGTCAATTTCTTAACTTCCTACCACATGACTCGCACCGTCCTTATTATTGTGCCGAATCTACTGTATGCTTCCCCACGGGCCGCTTCATTCAGTGTGAACTCTCTGGCGCAGGGAGGAAGAAGCTGCGGCTGTACGAGTACCTGCACGAAGCCCTGTACGACACCAACATGGCCGACTCCATACAGTGGGTGGACAAGGGCAGCGGCACCTTCCAGTTCGTCTCCAAGAACAAGGAGAAGCTGGCTGAGCGGTGGGGCAAGAGGAAGGGAAACCGCAAGACCATGACCTACCAGAAGATGGCCCGAGCTCTGAGGAACTACAGCCGCACGGGGGAGATCATCAAAATCCGCCGGAAGCTGACCTACCAGTTCAACCCCGTGATCCTTCAGAGACTCAGCCCCAGTCACCCGTCCGGGAGGGAGACCCTGTACTTCCAGTACATCCCCACGGAGCAGGGCTACTGCAGCATGGACACCTGGCCAAACTGCTACAGCAGCTTCAACTGTGACAACGAGTACGACTTGAACTGCACACCAATTCAGTCAAATCCCTGACGCATGGCAGCCTGATGTTTATTTACTCTTGTTTGTTTGTTTATTTTAATCGGGGAGGGGTTGTATTTTGTAAATAAGTTTCAGTTGGTTATCAATGTGTTCATTGAGTTGTATGCATGGTATTTCCTAGCAGTTTTGAAGTACTGTACCTTTAATTACAGTGAAAACGCACTGAAATGTAATGGGGCCCCAGTAGGTATTGAGCACTTAACTGTATTCACACATGATGACGAAATGTTGATTCTGCAAACATCTTAATTTTAAACCAATAATCTTATTTTTGTGCAGCCGCCCTCTGTTGGAACGCACAAACAGTAAAGGTAACTAACCTGGAAACAAAAATATCATTTCCTAATTTTTCAAACGGATGATTGAATTTTAGGACTGGGACAAAACCTGGTGTTGTCATTTAAATCAAAACTTGCTTGTTCAGCTGTGTTGGTTTTGTGACAGCGAATCAGAACATTTATGATCTCCTGTACATGTCTGCTCTTGTCTAGAGATGCATTATTTAGTTTTTCCATTTTAGCTTGGCTGGTGATAACGATGATGTTATAAGAATCCTGAAGAATCACGTGCTCAGTGATGGCACACCAATGAATTAAATCAATGCATTCATTTAATCTCCATTTCTTACAGCACACATGCATTATTATAACTGTATAATATTACTGACACGTTTGATTAGTAATGTACATATATGTGCCAATTTCTCTGTAAATATTTCCTGCAGTGGACTGGTGTCTTGTCCAGGGCGTATTCCAGCATTGTGATGGTTTTCCTTGACCAATACCAGGACTAAGCAGCTCTCCAGAAGTCAATGGATGGGTCAAGACAATTCTGTTCTCTGCCTCTTCTTTTCCTCTGATGCTCAGCCCTTTAATCAAAGGGATTAGAATGCGTGGAGCCATGGTGAGGGGCCAGTAACTGAGAGGCCCTGGGTTCGAATCCCAGGAGAGATACTGTACTGCTGTTGTACCCTTGAGCAAGGTTCTTCACACAATTTGCTCCAATAAAATTCAAAGTTGTGTTGAATGCACACATTTGATATGTGAATATATAAAGCATTATGATATAAGGTGTTCTGGATAAAATCATGAGACAAATTAGTAATACATTAGTAGTAATTCACAGATGTCAAACTGTGATGATGGAAATTAGAGCAGGGCATGCCTTCTGCCATCCAGGATGAGTGAAATATACTTGACAGAAAGGAATGTAGTTTACTCTTACTGTCATGTGTATAATTGACTGGATCACCATTCAAGAGTTCTTTCATCTGCACAGACATTGCTTTCATCTAAAATCATTTTGTTGTAAATGTTGAGAAGACCTGTTTTTGATTTTTTGTAAATAAATTGATCTACTGTGTTTTTTGGAATGTGTCAAATAAATTATCTGACAT